GGCAGATCCAGGGGAGGTGCTTTGGGTGCCAACGCATCCCCCCTTTTTGGACAATGTACTTTTTTAATATATCAGTATTTAAACATGTTTTCTCAGCTGTTTATATTCCCCTGTTGTACTTTTATCAAGAAAACGAGTAGCATACAAAACACGTGCCTGCCACTATGCTGCTTAAACAATCTATTTGAGTAGTGTAGTCAAAGATATGTTGCAATAAAAGTCAATTTGCTTCCAAATTGTGCATTTYCTCGCTCTAGACAATACGCAGCTAACAAAAATGATGAGCTCCATCTGCTATACAGTGCCGCCTAGAATCACATGAACGCGTTCTGTTCGCACTTTGTTCGCAAACTGTTCGCGAACATGTCATGTTCGCAAACACTGTACTTGGAATCTCTTTGTTTGACACATGGCAACGGTATACAAACATTCCTTTCGAAGACACCGACGACTACATCAAAGTTCACCAGTCGTGATTATTATTCTCATACCTATTAATCTGAAAATCAAAACATATTTCATTTCGCAATATTTTAAATGGCCAAAAGTACGAGAAATTAAACGCTTAAGGTCACCACGGCGGRCGTGATGGTACATTTAATAGTCGATTTCGGGTATAGTGTGCTAAAGTAATTGCAGTGTATCGATCTGAAGTATCTGGGCAAACAGACACATTTAAAATGAATATCACTCAATAAATTCAATAAAGCTCACAAAAAACAAATGTTTTGGCAAATAATCCTGAATGGTACGTGTGACACTTAACTTTGCTACAGGTTTCGTTGGTTTGTGTAAAATTAGGTCACTCTTTACGATGCGACTGATTGCAATGTATGCGAGAGTGTCTGCTACTTTGCTCGCGGCCGGTACTGTGAAGTAAAATCTGTGACTTGCAACTTTTAAGATCAAGATGTGTTCGCGAACTATAATGGTCAGACATATTCGTGAACGGTGATGAACGCGAACAATTCGCGAACAATCTGCGAACAATCTGCGAACAGAACACGTTCAGTGTTCGCGTTCTGTTTGTGAAATTTCCGCGAAAAAGGTACATGTGATTCTAGGTGGTACTGTACTTAGTTTTTAGCAATATATTACTGACAAAAGCACCCCCCCTATAACATTCTGGATCCTCCCATGATGTGTACTTTAACAATTAGAGAGGTTTAAACGGCAGAAAAGATCACGTGACCTGCTTTTTTTGAGTTTAACGTTGCAGTTTCAACATGAGAGCGGGTTATTTTGAGGTTGCCATGATCGTRAAAAACCGTTYTTTCAAATGACTACCAAAAGCACAAGGTCGTGCACGAAATTCTTAGGTCATTGGTTCAGCTCTGCCRTTAGCCKTTTGCCGTCAACKTGATGCTAAAACTCTCTAATATATGTTATTTACCGGCTGGGAGGTCCATATAGGAAAACACTGCCCAAGTTCTTGACAGTACGGAACGAGCGCAGCGAGGTCCATACATAAAAGACCTAGGGCAGTGTTTTCCTATACGGACCGACCTATAGCCAGTAAATAACATTTTTATTTTTTATTTGTATTTTATGCAGCTTTGYTCGCAGCCTAGCTGCAGGATACCGTGGACTGGGCAGAACGTGAGAAAAACAGACCACGCGCCAGCCAATCATAGCGTGCGAATGACTAGGATACCGGACCGAAAAAAAATAACACATCGTTCTTGACCAAYCCATCAGTGCATGCATATTAAAAATACCAAAAAATCAAGGTAATAATAATAATGTTTTCTGTCGTTTACTATGACTCACTATTAGCAGTGCAAAGTGTTGCAATCTTTCATGTAATACATTGTGAGTTATCATAGTTTAGATTGTGTGAAAAGATGAAACACTGCACTGTTACCAAAAACCAGCTAGGCCCACTTGTTATATTCATTAASCCGTGAAACATAGCGTAATAAAAGTAATTAGACATTCTTGTATTTATATGTGTACTTCTTAAAGTGCATTTCAGAGGYTAATGCATGCAAACCAAGCTCTACTAAGTTAAGTAAGCTTATTACCTACAATAGTCKAGTTACTTGGATTTCCTATCACAGCTTAATACGTTTGGTCTATTGTTTATCAAAGGCAGTCCACTTTAATTGACGACATATAGTTGTACTAAAGAACATTAGGCTATTACCAAAATACAATAACGATAACTCACCCAAAATCTTTAGGGAATGATCCTACGACACTGTAACTTCCGAAGTTTTCGTCTTCCTCGTAAGACTAAAGTGACAATGATGCAAAATATTACGATATTTAGGAGCAAAACGAATAAGAGTGAAAGTTTATGTAGCAAGATGTAGGGCTAGAGTAAAACTTACAGTCATTTTGTTGTGAAAGAATTAGAAAGCGGAATGGAAAAGGCACAAAGTCTTCACATGACATCTACGTGAAAGAAYCAGAGTCATGTGATTAGCAGGCGAACGTAGAAGCTACAGGTAGCCCATCCTTTCCTCTGAAGTTTTTTACATTTTCATGTTTTAGCTTGTATGTTCTACATTGTTCGATACCTAATGAAATTTGAATGGAAAAAATCGAAAAAAAAAACGAAAGAGAAATATAAGATGAAATTACAAGTTTATCGTAAGTTATCGTGCACCATACAGTGAAATAAAATTGTTTTTATAATGTTGATAAATACAAGGACTGTCAAATTAGCTAAATCTCCCGGATTTTGTTTCGATGACACTTYGAATGTCGGATTTATTGACATAACATTCCTGTGATAAGAAAATACCCCTGAAAATAAGATAAAARAGTTTCTAGGTTGGGCTACCTTTGTGCTAGARGAAGAGAAGAAACTGTGTAATACTGAAAATGGCGCCGATTTCGCTGGGGGATAACAAAATTACTTTGTTAACTGGAGAACTTATTACCAAATTGACAAAGCTCAAAGTATTTTTTAAATTTGATAAACCTCCTCAAGAAATTTTAACTGCTGACAGTGCATATTTTGTTATATCTGACAGAAATCTTCGCGGAACTTCACTCTTTCATCTCAGTTTGCCCTATCAAACTTTAGGTAAGCTTTAACTTATAAGAAGTAAGCTTAATTTAAAAGTTTATCCAAACTCCACTTTAAAGTAAATTTTTGAGATTAGTGTATTTCAGACGATATATAATTTAAGTGATTAGTTAGCGTTTCTGATAGAGAGCTAAGTCAATCTGGTAGATCGAATTGCTGTGCATGCTTAAGCTTATTTAACCTAAGTTATAAATCTGACAATCGTTCCGTTCTCGTTTAGATTTGTCTGAGACGGGAAAATGAACTCGAAAGAGAAAGGGGATTACTTTTGATCCTAATTCCCCCCCCCCTCTCCCCCCAGGTCCCTGAAAAACGAAGACCCCCCTCAATTCTCGTGAAAATAGCTTCAAACGTCTTTAATCTTCTTTATGATATTTTATTGAGAAATCACAGGGCGTCTTCGCTTTCCAGATCTGGAAATTGTCTTCTGAGTCTTATTATTATGATTATTTTAAATAAAGGTGATCTTGATCTGAACTAAGAAGCAGAAGAATGATATCTGCATGTGCTCCAATAAATTCTCTTGGGTTAAAATAAAGTTACGATGACTAGAGCAGATTTCTGCTTCACCGGTGAGTCCCCGGCCAGCTAATGTCTAGATAAGAGGAAATGCTTTGGAAATAGTGGAATTGAATAATAATAATAATAATGCTATTTATATAGCGCTTATCCAATTTTGTTCTAAGCGCTTTAAAACTACATGACAACTACAAAACACATGAGAGTCTTGGTAGACTGTGAGCTTGAGTTGGCGCCTCTGGCTGCCGCTGCACAGTCCGTCCCAAGATCTCAAACTAAAAAAGTACAACAATCAGATTACGTCACAATAAACAAGTCAAATGTTTTTGCATGATGGCCGGTGGCTCAAATGAGCTCATTCGCCCTTCGACAGGTTTTGTTTTTAGTCCTGCTGGGAGTCATGCCACCCTCCTCACCAGTGAAATAGACTGGTGGGGGTGCCGGTTTAGACGCCGACGACCCGTCCATGAGGCAGGTTGTACTGGGTTACAATGTTACCAGTAGCAGACTACATGTCTGACCTGTCATGAAAATTATTAAAATATCTGTTACATTCCCCGGGCGTGTGTCGTAGTTCCAAATGATGAATTTCATTATGCGTGGGCATGTCACAGCACCGTTAAAGTAAATTTCTCTTGGGATCTTCGTTTTTTGAAAACGAAGAYCCTTTGCTAATTAGTCGAAACAAAATGAATAATCTTCATTTTCCAGATCTGTAAAGCGAAGAACCYCTGGGATTTCTCAATAAAATATCATAAAAAGATCCGACACATTAGTAAGAAACGATTGTGAGAAGATTAAAGACGTTTGACGAGAAATGAGGGTGGTTTTCGTTGTTCAGGGTCTTCRGTCTTCGTTTTCTAGGTCTTCATTTTCTAGGGACACTCTCCCCCCTTCTGTAGACTCCCCCCTTCTGGATTTGTGTCTACAGGACACTCTTAAATCTAATTCCAAATTRCAAACAATGATTTCAGTTTAAATTGTGTTAATAGGACAACTTAGATACTTTGCGCATTCTGATTGGCCGAATACTGTGTTTTCATTGGAGTTWAGAAAACAACTTGAATACTATGTGTGTTCTGATTGGCCGAGTACTGTGTTTTCATAACAGTATGAGACATGGTTCTGACGTCACCAGTTTTACAAGTGCGAATTTCAAAAGTAGAACTAGAACAGGAAGAAAACAACAGCTATTTAGCTGTAAACCTAGAAAAAACTAGTTAAGAAATATTTTGCATGCATTTCTTGTTTCTTGTAGGTTTTCAGTGCATATAAGCTGCTTTAGATAACTTAGATNCATAATATCACTTCTTGCGCTGGATACCAGCAATACAGTACCTACTGATTGACCAATTTAACAGGTTTTATCATTTTAACATTATTTTGTAGAATGGTACAAAAGTTCCAAGTCCATTCACAGAGTGATAAAGCAGAAACACTACAAACACTTTGTAATGTGTTTTTGAACTCACAGCTCAGTGAATCCTCTGATGAAATAAAGGTAAAAATAATTAAAAACGTGATTATTTTGATACTAGCTTTGAGTTAAAAACAACAAATGGTTATTCAGTTGTTTTGGTGAAGACAAAGACCTTCCTCAGTATGAAACAATGTTTGCATGCACAAACTTTATATGTTAGTGCACACATGTTTTACAAAATTCAATTCTATAAGTCCCCTGTAGGTTACAGGAGGCTGGATTAGTGCCATGCCCTGAGAAAAATGCGCCGATGATAGTCTTCCTCTCTGTCTCCTCTGAGACAGTTGTTCTCTGATAGTGGAGACTTGTAGAAGATAAGTAGAACCCTTAAGACTTACAAGTCGCTTACAAGTGACAAGAAAACAAAAAAAAGCACATCTTCCTATGAGGGACATCTAATTTTCATTTCATTGAATTCATTGTTATGATTCTCACAATCAACATTCCATTCTGTAAACATCATAGCACTGAAACTGCCCTGATTAAAGTAAGGAATGATTTGCTCATGAATATGGACAAGGGTCATGTTACACTGCTTGTATTATTGGACTCAAGTGCTGTGTTCGATACAGTTGATCACAGTGTCCTGTTGCAAAGATAACAGTCACTGTTGTGTTAAGGTGACAAAGCACTCGCCTGGTTTACATCTTATTTGGAGAATAGAGCGCAGCAAGGTTTTGTTGATGGTACTTCCTCAAACAGATTCCCTGTTGATAGTGGTGTCCCTCAAGGTTCGTGCTTAGGACCGCTGTTATTTACGATCTACACTAGTAAGCTGTTTGAGATTTTACGATCTCATCTTCCCTCTGCGTATGTCTATGCCGATGATACGCAATTATACATATCATAATAATTCAAACCATCTGATAGTATGGATGAAGTGAATGCTGTTAGTGCAATGGAAAACTGTATCCGTGATGTACAGGATTGGATGAGAACAGAATGCTTTGTCTAAACGATGATGAAACAGAGTTTTTATTGATTGGTAGTCAACAACTAGCCAAAGTATCCATTAATAGCATTAAAGTCGGAGAAACAGATGTTCCACCATCCTCATCGGCAAGAAACCTTGGTACTTGGTTTGACAGTCACATGGAAATGTCCACCCACATATCTAAGACATGTGGTAGTGCATTTTATTACCTAGTTTATAACATACGCCATATTAGGAAATACCTCTCGAAGGATCACACTGAACAACTGATACATGCCTTTATCACAAGTCGATTGGACTATTGCAACGGCTTGTTGTATGGACTTCCTGACTGCGTAGTAAGGAAACTACGATGTGTAATGAATGCCAGTGCCAGACTTATTTATCAAGTACCTAAATTTTGTCATATAAATTACTCCTATTCTTAAAAATCTACATAGGTTGCACGTATTGAGTTCAAATTGCTACTTATTACTTATAAAGTTATAAATGGCTTAGCTTCAAAGTATCTTTCGGAGTTGATAAAAGTTCAGTCAAAGTCACGGTATGACCTACGAAGAAACGATAATGGAATCCTTCTATCTCAACATACACTGAAGACCAAGAAAACTATGGGTGGCAGGGCTTTTCAAGTTGCTGCTCCGGCATTATGGAACAAACTTCCTTTTAATATTAGACAATCTACGTCTATTGATATTTTTAAGAAAGAGCTAAAAACACATAATTTTATTTAAATCAGAATTTTTTTTTAAATATCATTTTTATGTTTTCATATTATGTCTATTATTWTATCATTCTATACTATCTTGTAGTTATGCGCATGTGAATATTTTATAGAACATGCGCAATATAAATATCAAATACTATTATTATTATTATAACCTGTCATTTCACACATTGTTTTTATTGAACTTACAGAGTGATGCTCACTATGCTTTGGTGCACTTACTGCTTATACTATCAAATAAACCAACTCAATATGACTATATTCCACCAATCCAAAGCTCACAGATTTCTGGTAAAACTCATATGATTGAATATGAAGTTTAGTATAAATGCCAACTATTTTTGAAATCAATGTACAGRATGTGTAATAAGGCATTAACATCATTATAAATATTATAGTTTACTCTCTTGTGGAGAATGCAAAAAAAATGAAATAATGATTGCTTTACATGTACATATTTAGAATGGACACACAATCTTTGAAACAAATATTACTAATTACTACAACTAAATAGAATTGATTAGACATAAGGAAACAAAAGAATTAGCTTAAGTTGTTACTATTAATATTGTACTATTTTAAGTTTCCAGATGATAATACAACATGTACTTTCAGTTGATAATAGTTTTAACTGGAAAGAGTACCTCTTGGGTGATGCAGAAGAAGAGGTGATTGGGATTCCAACCAATGCACAAAGTCTAGAGTGGTCAGATGATGATCTGGTAAGTATGGTGCAATATCATTGGTTAGTAAAAAATGTAAAAATTTCTGCTAGTGAAGTAGTTAGCTAACAAGAAAATTGAAAGTATAATAATAATAATAATGTGTTCAATACTTTGTTCATGACCATTGTAATATTAAGATAATTGCACTGTGCATTATATCTGAAAGTGAAAATATCTGTAGGATTGCATGGAAACAGGTTCAACTTCAGAGTGTGACTTGTCTACTGATAATGATATGGTTTCYCTTGATACAAAAAGTACTACAAGTACCTCCTTGGCTTCAAAAATGGAAAAGGTGAAAAWTATTTTCTTTAATTAATCTAAAAAAAGGATTTACACTAAACCCATCCCAAGAGGCCTCTCTGAAGTGGTTTGATAATAAATTATTTCTGAGTACAGCATTTTATTGAAATTACGTCTTGTTCTATAACGCTTGTCAGTGTATTCACCAGAGAGTGCATTCATTGTCATGTGGAACTAAGACACCATAGTCTAGTGTTGTCAGTTTATTTTATGCCATAGGTATTTTATATATACACAGTTGGAATAAAGATTTTGCACAGTATCAATTTTCTGACCATGTTCCTATGTTTTGAATTGTCTTTTAGGGTGGTGTATGGATTRGTCAGCATGTTGTATCTCAGTACTGGTGTGACTATCCAATCAATGTGTTTTTAAATGACAGTCCAACTACTTGTAAATTTAATCAGTGCTCATTAGCTTTAAAATGGTAAGTGCAGTGCCCACTATTTAGCTAGAATGGCAAAGCACTTATAATTATTTAAGGTAGATTTGCAAAATGCCAATTTGGTTATTTTATGTTCGACTCATGTAATATATATGATGTATATATGATGGGACCACACACATGGCATTACAATAAAATATAATATCAGGAATTCTGTTTTTGTTTATATTATGATTTGAAAGGGAGGRAAATCAAAGAAATCAGGACGTATTTCAACAATACAAGACCAGCAAGAACCTGACTGAATCCCATCTAGTAAAAGAGACAATTTGGTGAGTTTATTACTCTAATATATTTATTATATCTTTTAATTGTAATAACAACAACAAAAGCAACAACAACAAAATAGTCTATTTCACTGACTTGATACATAATATATACTTATAGAAGAATATTTAAATTATAGAACAAAATAAAGAATTAACAATTTGCAGGCGGTTTTCCATTGTCTGTACTCTTATTGACAATGAAATTGACGTCAAAACTCAAGTGGAACCACGAGCATACAAAAAAGCTGATAGAAAACAAAGTAAAACTTTCAAAACAAAACCGTTTCTAGTGCTGTCCTAGGATTGACAACTACATGTTATGGTAAAATAAAATGTTGACAAGTGTGCAAAATACAAAAAATGGTCCAAATAAATCTTGGGTGAGATAATCATAAATATCACACTTTGCTTAATTATCTGTCACTTATTGAAATGTTGTGTACAACCATGATGATCTTTTTGTGACATAAGGTACGGAACAATATTATAATAATTATGATAGAGTACTTTGGCTTTTCTAAACTAATTATGAAGAAGGATTGGCTGATGGAAGAATAAAATTATTTAAGAACAGAATTTAACTTTTAGAATGATTGTAGTATTACAAACTACAATTATAATAATTAAATTATTTTGTGACTTATTTGTAATGTAGATTCAATTGGCATGTTGACAGATAATTTGTTGTGATTTTATTTTTGGGCATTCAAATCAACCAGAAAATGAAACCTTACATACACCTATTTCAAAAAACGATGTCGAGGAGAAYGGCGAACGGCTATTGTCAAAGGGACATTGCACAACTGAAAGGGACTATGGTTACGCTGTTTTGAGAAACAAAATTTCACTTCATGGATTCACCTCATAGAAATGGAGACTAAAATATGGAGCCAATGTTTACGACAGACCATCTTACAATACAGATCAGTTTTTATTGTCTTTCAACAGGCAAAACCAATGGCTACTTTCGGTCATACAATCACCGGTCGACCATTGGCATTCRCCATTTTATCCAAAAACCTTTTGTTGTCTTTTCTCAGACAGTTTAATAAGTCAAAAACTTCAAAAAAAATTATTTTTAATTCAAAGAATTAAATGAAGTTCTTGACTAACTCAATAAAATAATAATTAGTCATTGATGAAGGTGCTCTGATGCCATGATGGTAATGCTGCTCACATTGCTCATGATATACTTTCATTGTTAATTGTAATACCTCAAATATATAATAATGTATATTATAATAATATTTATCATATACAGCCTTTTGCAAAAATTATGAGAATTGTCTAAATATCTAAATATCATAATATCTATATCCATATATTGTCCGGAACACGCGGGTTTGCTAGAATAATTCATTGTTGACATTTAGAAAATGTTCAGAACTACGGATAAGTCTGTCGCCAAAAAAAAAAMCTAAACTACAAAGACAAGGGTCTAAGGGCATCACGCGGGATTACCCATCATGCACTCGATATTATGATATTTAGATATTTCAACAATTCTCATAATTTTTGCAAAAGGCTGTATTATCTATGAAATAACTATATTTGTCCATTTCGTAAAATTGATATTTTCACTTGTGAAAATAACATGTTATTTTCACTAGTGAAAATAACACATTCGAGGTTTCTCCCTATATTGGAAGTAAGAAAAAAAGGCATTTTACGACATAAACAATAGCTCACTCGTGAGAGATTTTCAACACGAGAAGATAAAATTCGTATCTCCAAGCGACCATGTAATATCCTCTATATRATTCATTTTGCAATCCATACAAAAAAGGCGACAAGTGAGAGCAATTCAGACTATGTTTTAAAGTGAGGGAATAGAAATTGGAGTTGTGTTGCTCTCACTTGTTGTCAGTCACAATTAGAGGAGCATTTACAGTACTAGACAAAATACCAGAAGATGATGCAACTTTAACATTGTCTGGTATCATTATTTAAGGAAGTGAAAGWTATGTATTACTAAATTACTATAACTTACATCGTAATGACTAATGTTTTTGTTGTTAAACTCATTAATTTATATCATTGATAATAACACTTGGATCTTTTATTTGATAGGATGCTTTCAGGCGTTGAGAAAAGTTATGTCTATCAATATAGCCATAACTACATGCAAGTCAACATTGACATTCAAGTATCACATTTGACCAAAGTAAGGCATGTAGATACAGTAATACAGTTGAATCTGGAATTTTCATGAATTTTCAAATTACATATTAATTAAAAATAGTAGCCTGTAATTTTTGGATTTTCCTGGCTGTTTTAGCAAAATGTTATTTCAATGATGTCAAGCTTTCATTGCAATTTAATGCTTTTTATATTTAAAACAATTTGGAACTTACATTATGTTGTATTACAAGTAAGGTTTATTCAAGTTCAGGAAGGAGTATTTAAAGATTATGATCATGTAAAGACTGATTGTCTTCAAATCTTTAGGCATTGATAAGTAACCAAGTTATTCAATCTATTAAAAAGTTTTCCTTTAGCAGYATATTGATGATGAAGTCATACAGTGTAAGCTGACAATGTAAACTCAAACAATAACAACTTGTATTCCTCTATACATACATGTAAAATAATGTAACATTATTTGATTTGTTATTGTCCTTTGAAAGCTTCATAATGATTTTAAAAATGTCAAAATATTTTTGATTTTCGATCTCTACTTCGACAAACAGAAAACACAAGATTTGGTTAAGGAAAGCTAGTTTTGTCATTACTAAGACCTTCTAAATTCCTTTACAACTGGCGGTTCAAATAAGGAGAAGTGGAGAAAACACCATGAACTATAAAAATGAATTGAATAATAAAAACCGCCGACCGGTTAGCTCAGTAGGTAGAGCATCGGACTTTAGTGCGGGAGGTCGCAGGTTCAAACCCCGGCCGGACCAACACTCAGGGTCTTAAAATAATTGAGGAGAAGTTGCTGCCTTTGTCTTTCTCCATCTGCAAATGGTAAGATCTTCGCGTCCTCTCTGATAACGACGTAAAATCGGAGGTCCCGTCTCTCTACACTTCACTCACTAACCTGTATTAGAGGGACGTTAAAGAACCCACACCACTGTTCGCATAAGAGTAGGGAATGATTCCCGGTGTGTGTGGTTAGGCCTTACTACTAACCCATACTAATTACTAACCCCTCATGAT